TTTGAATTTAAGTACCAAAAATGAGTAACTAAAAAAAAACCTGCTAAATTGTTTCTTGCAGTGTGACCATCCATAAATTTAAAGCATCATTTCACACCATGATTGCAAAATAATAACTCGAAACGGTCTGAAACTTCGCTCTCCTGCCAAACAGACCAAAATAAACAAGCGCAAAATAAATCCCCCGAAGAACGCCGCCAAAACATAATCTTCTTATGCTCATTGCTCAGCATTACACAAAATACAGTCACACTGGCAAATGGAAAGAGCAAGTTCGCTAGCAAACACAACAACGAAAACAGCTAGAACATCGATTGGTAGAGGAAGAGGGTGGGCCGAATAGAAATGGAAAACTTATAAAATATCTGCGAGGAATACAAATTCAATTCATGAATAAATTTCATGTATAGCCCTTGGCTGCCTTTCTATTTTATGTATTTTATGGCATGTGCCTCCGTTATGTTGTCGAGGTTGCCGGGGATACCAAAGAGGATAACGCAGAAGTGGAGGGCATCTGCATATCTGCCTGACTTTGGCATTGCCACAGAAGCAGCAGCAGCAGCAGTTGATGATTTACCAACGGGCCAACACATACTCCAGATAATTACGACGCGGTCTAGACTTTAAACCCGAAAGTTGCCAACTGGCAACGGAAAATCGTTGGCTGGCACTGACTGCCACTGCCAACATAATCACAAGTTAATCCTCCGTGTAACTTTACCACCAGCAACTGGGCATTTGGGCAGCGCAGTGGAGTGGCTTTTTGCGGGACGTTCGGCAGGTTGGAGAAAACGTGGACGCCCCTGTTCGAATGTAGATAAGCGGCCCTAAGCCAAAGATACAACTTTCAGATACTTGCCAAACTGAAATGTTGCGATGGCTTCGCACTCCCTCAAAAAACAGCAGCAGCCAAAGCGGCAGCTTAAAAATGTTTCATTTTTATCGCAGCCAGTCAGAAAACGAAGCAGTAGCAGAAGCAGACGGAGAGGTGGAAATTCCTTGCCAGTAATGCCAAAAGGAAATCTCTCTGCTAGGGTTTCCCCACCCGTCAAGCGGATATCTTTATCCAACTTTGATGTTTGACCTAGCTCGGAGTGCAGAAGTAAAGGTATCTGAGTAGAAAACTTAAAATATGGCAATACTTCATATGGGTTTCGAGCAATCGAGCAAAAAGTAATCAGATTTAATAGTGTGACCAGACTGACTTATGATTCAGAAACATTAAACCTTCATAATTAAATTTAACTAAGACAAGTTCGTGTTTTAAAATAAACCATTTTTAATAGAAACTATAGTGCTAGTGTGACCAGAATGGAAAATAAAGCAAAGTTATAAAGTGACCAAATTAAATTCGAATTTGCCTAAAGCCATAGGCTAGACTAGAAAAAAGGTCTTTTCCCTATTCCAGCTGTTCATTTTTGAGAAGCTGGCCGTTGGACATTGTTTGCCGCTTTAACAACGTTATTTACAGCTCCGAATGGAGAAAGAAGCAGAAAAAAAAGGAAAGGTGAATGCAAACGACAACGAGACGAGGGGAAAACAAAGAGCGGAAACCAATTCGACGAAAGGTGAAAGGTGTTCTCGTCTGTTGATTCGACCCTCCTTTTAACCCCGCCTCGAACTTTAACCGCAGAAATCAGCTGGAGGTCCTGGACCATTTCCCCCTCCCTCTACCTATATACACCCTATACATTTCTCCCCTTCTCGACACTTCGACTCTGTTCTGTTCTGTTCTGTTCCTTTCTGTTCCGTTCCTTTGAGCTCTTTTTGACTGTGGCAAGAGTTACGCAAATTGCTGAGCTGGCAAAGGCTGTAAAATTTTATTGGGCATACACACAGCCGACGAGCCGGGACAAATATGCGGCGGTTCAGGCGGTGAATGGGGTTATTTTGTAGGTTGTAGGTTCAGTTCAGTTCCGTTGGTTCCGGTGACTCTGGTGGGCCGCCGCATTACGGCCTTAATTTCCAGGAGGAAGCTTTGATTTAAAAGGGAAAACACGACGCCGACGACCAAGGGGCGAAGAATTTATTGTCGGGAGTATAAAATGTTATGGCCGTCAGGTAGAGGCCGAAGAAAAAAAAAAGCAGAAAGTAAAGGGCTTAGCGGGGGCGTGTCACCTGTCGGCGGGACAAGGACTAAAACTGTTATTTGCACTTGGCTCAGTTACGTGCCGAATCAATTGAGCAACGGCTGATGCTGAAATATCAGGGGTGTTGTTACCAGGGGGGGCTGAGAAAGGGGGTCGAACTCATTTCAGGGGACACACGACTGGGCACTGTAGTTGAGCATAAATCATTTAAGTCGCCTCCGTTACATGCAAAATGTTTACTCAACACCAGTCGCAAAACGACGAAGGAAAGCAAATTTATTTGGCCAAGTTTAAGGTTCGAAGTTTGGAACACCCTAGCTATACGATTTAGTCATTAGATTTAGCTTTAAGATTTAATTTCCAATAATATATTATATATCGATATTATCGATAATAAGGAAAATTAGAGAAAATAAACATAAATTACAAACTAAACTAAGCAATTAAAACCAAGTTCAATATCGTCGTGTTCTAAAAAAATACATTTAAAATAAAATTTTTTAGCTGAGCGATTCTGTCGATAATGGTCTCAAACCATCGATGTTTCCGAAATGTTAATAATAATCGATAATATCAGATTATGGTTTCTTCGAAGAGAAATCTGATGGCTATAACTTTAATGTAAATATTAAATGGAAATTCCTTTGCATATGTAGTTACAACATTACAAATTTATATACCTTCCAAGATTCCAGCTATTCCCTTCCGTGTAAACTTTTGGGACTAACATGTAATACCCCATGAAAGGCTGCATAAAACGGAGTGCCCATAAAATTGCTGTAAATTCAGTGGGTGATTGCCGTGTGGTTGGTTGGGTGGCTGGGTGGTGCTATTGGTGGCTCACACCTGCCTCGCATGCCAAATGAAGTAAAAGATCTTGGCGCCGGAAAATCTAACAACGTTGCCACACCGGGTGATGCATATTTGATGCTTGTTTTACATATGCCAACAATCCAGGGACACATGCTCGTAGCAGCCTATCCTCCCCAACCACCCAACCACCCAGCCACCCAACGATACACGCACACTTTGCCAAAATTTGTCACTGACAATTTTCATTAATTTAAAAAGCCAAATAAATTGTGAAGCTTCAACCGCAACAAGAGCAAACATCTATGCCAACAAAGCGGAAACAAGCAACTGACGCATATCATTAAAGAGTAGTTACTGTGGGTGGTGATGAGGGGGTGGCTGGTGGGTGGTTTTACTGGGCGTGAGGTTTGCATATGTAAGACGCTCTTAAATGGATAGCTTGTTTGTGACGCACAAACAAACGCACTTACGCACTTGAAGGCAGGTAAAAGATGCCAGAAACCACTTGCCACCCACCACCACCACCCACAAAAGCCACCCAGCTATACAAACACACACACACTCTGTACGCACACCTAAATAAAATCAGAGACAAAGAGTTGAAGTGGTATGAAAAATTCAAATATATCATTTGGATCAAAAATATTGTATATAAAATGTCGTAAGAAAACCCATTTTAAATACCAAATTAATTAGTACAAAAACATGATATTTTCCAAAGATTAAAGCATCAAATTCCAACAAACATGTTGTTATTCTCCCATTAATATGTGAAAAATATGCCATTTGATACTGAAATCGCGCTAAAGTGCGAAATAAAGTTCATTATCTGTGGAATTTTATCATCATATCCACCGTGTTTTTGCAGTGGTTAAACGGTTGAATTTCAAGAGGGTCAACGAACCAATGCAATGTAAACTCATAAAGCAGCAACTTTGTTGCGATTGTACACTGGGTGTAATACGTCTATAGATGTGAGTGTGATATATATACATATATAGGGATATATAGCTTCTGTAGCTCCAACTTCCGATGTCTGCGCCTTCGCACTTTGGATGACACCGGCAACAACCAGAAAACCAGCGACCCACTCAGTCTGCCAGGAGGAAACACTTCCTGTCATCACACACATGCATGGAGTGGGGTGGAGTGGCTTGAAAAAAGAGGAAAAATACGAGGAAAACCACCCACACACACATGAAAAGTTACTGGATCCTTTCGCCAGCAGTCATGCTAATAATTTGATGGCACAAGCGAGCGAGCAGCGACAACGTCAGGTGTAAAATATTGTTAAGCGCAAACACAGAAGCACCCTGACACACAGAACACCGGCCACGCCCCCCGTACACAAATACAGTGAGAAAAAAAGGTGTTCCACTCATAATTGATAATAATAATAACAGCAAATACAACCAAATTTTGTAAAAAGTCGGCGGGAAGTAGAACGTTTTGTTAAAAAGAACACATGAAACAGTGACAGCGCCTTTTAGGACTAAACACAAAAACAAAAAAAACCCGGGATCAAATCGATGTGCTCATAGTAAATTTCTGGCTTTTATGGCATTTATACGAATATCGTTTTTACCATGCAACACCGATTTCTCTCTCTCGCAGATTCTTTGACTTCGAAAAAGAGCAAGGGGAATGATGCATTCGAAATTCGAACTGGCCTAAGTAGAACATGTCGCTTACATTTCGATCATATCAAATCGATCATCGTTTCATATCAATTTTTTTTCCGTTTTAAAGTCATAAATTCAGATAGTTGCTTTTCTTTTCGTGTAACCCTTATTCATATGCAAATCGGGGGGGAAAAAAAGAAAAGCCAACCGCCGCCGAGGAAAAGGGGGAAAAAAAAGCTGGCGGAGCGAGTTGAAAGGCATTTCGTGTTGATGTTGCGTTTTCATTACGCGCAATTTCGGCTGCCACGCCCCTTGCGTTGTTAATTTTCTTTGATGCCGCAGCGCGCGAATTGAATTAAATTCTATTAAAAAGTCACCGGCAAACGGCAGCCGCGATATATGTGTCGAAAATCTGGGATTTGCCGGTTACTTTCTATTGGGGACGTGTTTTTCGGCTGACGGCGAAACAACTTACCTGCAAATTGGGCGGACAATGATCCAGCAGCTCCAGCATATGTTTGATATTCTGCGCATCCTGTATCACAAAATTCAATTCCATGTCGAATTCACCGCCGACCAGCTGGAAAAAAGAATAATACAGATGTATAAGTTAAATGTATCCAGTTTGCATATTGTATAAACAATAGGCGAGGGGGGAATTGTTGAAAAATGTTCACAATTAGTGGAAATCATTCGTTCTCGTTCTTTTTTTTGCAGAGGGGGTTAAGTTTATTTTGTTGGCTCTGCATGTGGATAATCTGGGGGAAAAATATGCGAAAAGTTGACGGCAGATTTGTAATTGGTAAAGTTTGAATTGGAAATAATGGATGTGTGTTTTGAGAGCGTGTATTCAAGTGGGGCGGACAGGGGAAATGGAAAATGGAAAATGGGTTGTGGGAAATGGTAAATGGGAGATGACTGACAAAAGTTTATTCGGGGAGTCGAGAGCCATGAGATAACAGAGAACACAGGATGCTGTTGGCTTAAATCCGTTGATTGGGTAAAATCAATGTAGTTTCCATTTATCTAGACCACACAAAAGTGCAAAGCCCCAGATAACTTTACCGGCTTCTTTTAATTGAAATCGAATGCAATGTATGGCAGCGCATCTGTATTTATTTTAAATAAAATGGTTTCATTTTGAAAACAAAAAGTAGAGAAACATTTTCTGGAAAGCAAAAAAAAGAACATATTTTATATAATTTTAAAATTGAAAAACTAAAGCCACATATTAATAAATACCAAAAATATTAATTAGACTGAAATGGCTTAAAGTGGAAATTTTGAAAACTAAATAGCAATCTGTCAAAGTCATTGCTTTTGCCCCCCTTTTCAATTTAAAATACAAAACCAAATACTAAGACTTTAAAGACTGGTTTAAAATATCTTGAGCCTAATTCTATTTGATGGATGATGATCGGACTTTAAAGAGCCCAAATCTGAGCCCCATTTTCTTATCGGGATTATCATTTAGCAAACCATTTGCTTGCTTTTTTTTTAAGAAGAAAAGCCAAAAGCCTTTGCTTTCATTTCACCCTCCCTCCATTTATTTTCACCCCTATTATTTTTGCCCAGCTTTTAGTTTCCCTGGGCTTAGGCTAAGTACAGTCGAGTGTGTTAACTGCTTGAGAGCGTGTCCTAGACACATCCTTTTGCCATCGAGGAGCAATCAGGGCGTCCTTTCAGCAGCAGCAACAACAATAACAATCAAGGATGCTGAAGAGGGTGGTGGGTTTTGGGGGGTTGGGAGAGAAACCCCCAGTCACGTCACAAAAACGGCGGCGGCAAAAAAGGTTCTAACTTAATTATGCCAGGCGCCAAGAAAATCCACTTCCATCGAAATTTCAGCCCCGCCCCCTTTCCGCCTTTTCCAATGTCAATATATTTTTGTGTCCAAAAAAATTGTTTTTCTTGCTTTTTGCGCGCTTTAATAAAATCAGCAAAAATAAATTCAATAAATAGATTAGAGCAAAGGGGAAAGAGACAGAGACAGAGGCAGAGGTTTTTTCTCTGTCTAGCTCACAAGTGGTTACAAGTGTCCTTACACCAGAATAAAAAAAAAACACACACACACACATACAGAGGGCGATATAAATCCCCAACTGTATTTATGTCTGTTTTTGTTTGTTTTTCTCGCATTTTTTTCTCTGGGAAAAACCAAGTGAGAGGTGGAGTGGAGAGGGGGGTGCTTTTGGCGGCCGACAGTTTGGCGCCTGGCCATCAATGGACCACACCCACAATCCAGTGTCCTTAGCCCAAACCGCCCAACCACCCACCCACTCACTACTTTTCTGCGAGTGCACTCGAGAGCTGCTTTATAATTATGCGAAAACGATTTCACCGGCATTTCCCCCACCAACACCTTTATTTTTTTCTCTTTATCCCTTTTTGCGGTTTATGGCCACGGCCACGCCCACGATTTGCCTTATCACCTGGCAACAAAAACAAAAAACAGAAATGGGAGGAAAAAAAAAGGAAAAGCCAGATAACAATATGGCCAGCAAATCTGTTGTGATGCGAACATAAAGCGAAATCAAAGCCAGAGACTTCTCACCCTCGGATTTGTTGCCCCGCTTTTCGTGGCAATGAAAACAAACAGCAGAGGAGCCCCTAAGTCCCACGGATTAGGGAGCAATTTATAATGCCCCTTTAAGTCGGTTGCCCAAGCCATGCAAAAGCAAAGCAACGACCAATCTCAACGGAAGGATTTTCCTCATTTCGCAGCATAAACACAAAAACATAAGCGCCTATTTCAGGTCTTTTGACGGATTTAAAGCACCCGCAGTTGCCCACTTGAAACCAATTCAAGCTACACTTATTATATTTCGAAATTCAATTGAATTATAATATTATGGAAACATGGAAGATTCTTTGAAATAAATACACCTTAAGAAAAGTAATATTTGTTGACTAAAGCATTTTATGATTTTTAAAGGTTTGAAAATTTATTTATTGACTTGCAAAATGAATCATAATAATATTTTAATATTAATATTTCATATAACAGTTAGTATTACAATTTAAATTAGCAAAAGACTGAAATTTAGATCTGAAAGAGAACCATAAATTCCATTACGCGAAAAACCACAAGTGTGGCAGGCAAAGAAATCCATATATTTTAAACGAAATGAGAAAGACCGAAGAAGAAAGAAAAGGGGCGAGTGCGGAGGATAGGAGGGAAAATGCTCATTCATATTTAAATTAAACTTTGTGGAAAGTTTTTCGAGTTTTCCTACCCATCAAACCAGCCTCCCAATTAACGCCGCCACCCACAATTTCAGCCTGCTTCGCAGCGTGTCTTAGTACAAGCATTTTAAACGCCGCTTAATTATATTCGTCTGCCACCCCAAAGAACATAGCCACCCACCCCCTTCCAGGCCTCTTGATTTTCTACAGTTTTCCCAACGCTCGCCAGCTTTTCCCCAAGGAGCCGGAGCATCGCACCTTTTTCTAGCACATTTAGTCAATTTGAAGTTCATTTAAAAAAAGAAAAGTTTTTTCTTTCTTTCGTTTTTCTTTGCTGTAGATTTTCTACATTTCATTTGTGCGGCGGAAAAGCTGTGGAAACTCTGGCATTGACGTGTCGCCCGTCCGCCTGTCACCTTGTTATCCCCACCCACCTGGTCGCTTATTTAAAGTAAATTGAATTTCTATTTTATTTAAAATGCGCATTGAGACGCACTAAAAGTTCCTCAAGTGCCAGCATTTCCCGGGGGAGGGAGTGGAAATGCCAGTTTTCCGGGGGCTTCTTTCAATTTTTTTTTTGGCGCTGTGAAGGTGTAAAAATTACAATTTTACACTGGCAATGAGACCGAAATTTCTTTCTTTGTTTTTACTTCTTCTTGAAAAAGCAGCGGGTCTGTTTTCCCTTCTTTCTCTTTGCAAAGTGAAAGAGAGTTTGCCTTATCTCTTTGGTAATTCAATTTGATTCCAGCAAGGAGATGGGCAAAAAAAGGAAAATACAGAGGGGCGTTAACTGCATTGAAATTGTAATTGAGGCAGAGTTAACTTTTTGAATAAATAAAAAAGTCAGTTATGCCCGGAAACGTTTAATAATGTTGTCATTTCTGTAAAAAAAAAAGTTGAATTGGGTTTAAGTTGCATAAAATCATAACTAAAATTTGGATCTGGGTTTTTGGTAAAAATTGGAATTTTTCTTTTGGTTTTTTTGGTGTAACTTGGTCAAAAATTGTCCTACACCAAAAATACATACTGTTTTGAACAGATAATAAAATTATCAAAACATCCATAACACTTTCCGTGTGATTTTGGAAAAATAAAATTTTCGCCAAATTTAAATTTTTTTTTATATAAGGGGTACCCCATGATTTTTTGCGAAAAAATAAAAATAAATAAAATGTCAAGGTTTAAATGCCAATCGTTAGGAAATTTAATATCGAGTTCAGAAAGGTATGACAATCCATATTTGGATCAATATTTTCATAGTTTCGCCCAAAAAACGACTTAAATTGGACTCTGAGTTTTAGGAAACATTTTAAATTTCTTTCTTTAAATTCTAAATAAAATTTGAAATAAATTTGGCTCTAAGCGAACTTGGCTGTCGATTATCTAGTGTATTGATTCGTTCTGCGCTCAATCTCCGCACTAATTTTTTTGGCCACATTTCCAGAGCCATTGGCAATCCCCCAAGAACCTTGATTACGCCTATGCAGATATTCACAGCAATTGAGTCGCAGGTCTCGGGAAAAACTCGCCTTTTTCTCCAATCCCCATTTTTACTTGTTTGGGGAAATGCGTTCTGTTCTGTTCTGGCTTTTCCGACTATTCTCGCCAGACTTGCTCACACTTCGTTTTCGTCTTGGTTTTTCTGGGACAAGGCCCTCATCACCATGCCACTTCACTTCCCTTTGCTTTGTGCCAAATTTTCCGACTTTCCACACACCGACAGCCACCCCCTTTCTTGTGTCATTAGGGAATATTCGCAGTTTTCCCGTGGTTAAGCTTTTAAAACAGTTTTGAAAAGTACACAGCCTCTGAGCCTCCCATTCCATCCACATCCACATCCCCGCTTATCATACGTAAAAATTGTTGCCACAGTTTCCTTTTTCGTTCATTTTTTTTTGAACGCTACTTTTAAGTTCGGTTTTGGGTTTTCCTTTTTTTGGCTTCGCTTCTTTGTATGCTTTACTCAATTTCTGTTTTACTTTTGCTCGCAACCAAAGGAACCGAAAAAAAAGAATTGCTCGTTGGGGAAATTTTCCTGCAGAAGTTTTTATTGTTTTTTCTTCGGTTTTTCGCATTTTTTTCTTGTATTTGCCTTGGCTTTCTTGGCACCTCCTTGAGGGCTTCCCAAAAGCAACTTGGTAGATTACTTTTGATTGTTCTATTTGAATATTTTACAGCTGGCATTGCGGCAACTCTCCGACTGATGGCCTCATTAGTTGTGACTCCATGGGGGTCTGGAATATATCTTCTCCGTTTTTTTTTTTTTTTGTGTGTTAGGAATTATTGATGATCTGGGGGAGTGTGGGGAAAACTCCCGTTTTCCCAAATCCGAAACTCCCAAATCATTTATCATCACGAACAATTGCCCCAGGCCCAAACAAGCTCCTATAATTA